TCCGATTGTGGAATACTATTTTGCAGGTTTCATATCTTCGGTTCGGTACATGCTATATAGATGAAAATACCACCTTTTGATTGAGTGAAACAATATCTCCTAATTCCTAACGATAGTTTTAGTCAAAGACAAACTATTATAGCGATTTATGACCTTTGAAGGGTCAAGATATGTCATATTTGAACAAATTACATATTTGTTCGAAAAATGTAAACAATGTATCACAAAAGCCATACCTTTCGCCGAACAGGCGAACACAACTTCGGCCCCTTCGAACATATCTTTTCCGTTGTAGTCTTCTTCGATTCACAATCAAAAACACTATTTACAGTGTTTATTTTTCAAGCTTGTAGCCTCAGTTTTTCATCTTTTATTTCGGTATTTCAATCTGTTGCGATATTAGTGAAGTCTGCGGGATATTTTTTGACCGGAAATACACTTTAGATTTGCCAAAATATTGCGTGTTTTATACATCCTAGCGCTCGGTAAACGTCGGAAATCGAATCCACCACTTCAGCGGTAAAACCACTGAGCTGTATAATAACTGGAGGACCTGCTCCTATCAGGGGCGCACATCTAAGGAATTTCTAGGTGGTGTGGGCCACTTGGGGACCGACTTTTTGATATTCAAAAAGAAATTAAACAGAGGGGTAGAAAACAATTCTGCAAAAACATCATGCCACAGAACAGGGACGTGGGAATGTATTGAAATCAGGGGGTAAGGTCTCACGAGGCGCCACCCTGGTTGGCGCCGAGCGAGAAAATTTTCAACATTTAGAACCTCTAGGTCGCCGGAAACGACCATTTCAGAGTCTTAACTCTACCTTTTCGGTAGGCTCGTTCAGGTGTATGAACGAAAGATTAAGAAAATTCATCCCTTATTTAATATCAATTTCCGCATTTGTTCAATCTGTTCCAGATCAATAGAATCAGATAAGTCTTTTTCTGAACTGAAGAATCAAAACATATGTATAGGCCTATGTGAGCTCGCGTGTGAATACCAGGACGTGTTTATTAGTAATGTGTATGAGCTGTCATGAGAATATCCGTTCGCAGGCCACAGGTACGAAATCGGATAGTAGCAGAGAGAGAGAGACGAGTTTATTTTTTCGAATATAATTGTTACTTTCGTCCGTCCATATAAAATACTGAAAATAATGAAAAATAGAAGTGTATAATAACAACTAGCAAAACAATGAAATCAAGATAATAAATAATCTGAATTAACCATCTAAACCTTAGCGGGTGCGCTACGATTTGACGTTTAAAAATCAAGAAATAGTTTCTTACACATTAACACATACACATAGGCTTGTTCATAACATCTTACCAACCGGCTCTTGTGTTGTCGGTCCCAATTCACGGAGTCGGACAGAAGTAATATTAATTCTTATACCCGAATTTTGGGACCGAGTTTTCGCACAGTATCAAGGAAGAATGGGACCGACTTTTAGTGATATTCGGACGCTAAGGGGGGTTTCGCACCCCCCCTTCCCCCTCCCCCCAAATGTGCGCCCCTGCTCCTATACTTCGTTCAGTCAACGAAGTGTCGCCAAAAACATGGCGGATTTTGAGTGAAAATGACGCCATTTCCATGACAACACTTCCGAAATTCTCATGGTAGGTACCACTGACCAGGCTCAATTCTGAGCCCACGGCCGTTTTGACCACCCCCTGGTTTTTGCAAAAAAGTTTAGCAGATAACATAGTTCTTGTTGTTTTGAATCGGTTTTTAAATTTTTTTCGATATAAATTTTCTACCTTTGACCATTTGGACAAAGATATGCAAGTCGAACGTGTTATTCTCGCCCATCAAAGACGTCAAACAAATTTTAAAACCTCAAGAAATGTGGAAAAAAGACGAGACTTGAACATGGATTTACAAAGGTAAGAGACGTATTTTCATATTCAATTTTATTTACACTTTATCTTATTTGACATGAAATTAATAAGTATAACGATGAAAACGACACTCTATTTGTTAAGGAAACAGCTTCCTACAGTGCAATACACATGGGAAAGTGTAAAATTTCTCGCTACTTTAGCAAGCTGTGATTCACAATCGCAAATATTTGGTTACAACCTACGAAGCTTATTAAAATTATATTCAGTCGCATATACGAGTAATACGGCGATCTTTAAAGTGCGAACTGTCTTGTGTAATAATGTTAAAAGGTTGACTTTGAGGTCTCGTTTTATAAATAGACATAAACTATGATCATGTACCACAGACTATCTTTTTGAAAGAGGGATTAATTAGGTTTTGTGTTAATATGTACCAACTTAATATGTACAGTATAAGCTGGAGGTGCTAGCTTTCTGGTTAGGGATACCTCTTGATTTTTGTGTCATTATAGAGGCTTGAGATAAATAACACTTTTCCCTAAGCCGAGGTTTAGCCGAGGTGTGTGCCAAGGCATTCATGTGTGATCACACCTCATTTCCAGGATGCACTTACAGGTTTTCTCAGTAAATATCACTCTGAATAAACAATGTACCTTGAATTTATAAGTGCACTCATAGTTCTGATTTAAGCTGATCGAGGAGTAATATAGGCCACGGTGATCGCTAGATAGTATACTTCAAAATAAGGTTTCCGTTTTTATAACGTAGAAAAAACTATCCTAACTCAAAACTAAACCCTAACCCTAATACTATCCCTCACCCTAACCTTAACCTAACCCTAACCTAAACCCTAACCTAACCCTAACTTATTTTAAAAATTGATATAAAAACGGAAACCTTATTTTGAAGTATACTATCTAGCAATTGCCTATAGGGCCACATTCTTTCATTTACCTTGGTCATATGCTAAGTTATGTTACATGGATAATTGTACAAACCTGTATAATTAATCTTATTCTTGTTTATTGCAGATTTATTCCACAATGACACACTCTCCTTTCTGGGTGGCAAAACACAGTATCAAGCCACATCTTTGGAAACTGAACCAGAGACGGATTTTCATGTTTTCGTTCGGGGGGGTGTGGATAAATATCTGGGGGATGCTGCTGCTTGCTTTGGCCGGGGCATGGTGGCAACGCCCGGAAAGGCCAAGGAAAAAGTTTAATAACAAAATTTGTATTCAAGGCCTGCATGGCGAGACCTGAGACCATAATGTTGGTAATTTTACAAATTTAGTAATAAGAATAATCAAATATCAAACTATCAAATCAAAATACATATAATTTGTGGGGGTGCACCCAATCCGTGCCTGAACTGAACATACAATTAAAGCTTGATTAATTAATTTTGAACAACTGTATTTTAATTAATACATGCTTCCAGAAAGTATATCACCTTTGTTATCACCACGCTAAACTTCATACTTAATTATTAACTATAATTATTAGTTATAAGGAAAATAGGCCACACCTATAGGCGTTAGCTCAACTAGCTAGCTGAGAACTGTGATTGACATTTTTGTTGTTTTATGAATTTGGACGAACGCGAACGAACTAGTATAGAATACAGAAATACAGAAGGATATATATATTAACCGCTGCAAAGTCATGTAAGTACAAGTATTTAAATTCATGTGATATCAGCTTGGTGTACTCTGAGATAGGAATAATTTCACTTATAATATAGTCATCCACCGTCAACCTCGTTCCCAGGGCTTCAGTGTGAGGACGAGGCGAGACACGAGGAAGCCCTGGTCTGGGCCGGTCAATTTTGCATTCTGATTGGCTAACACCATATTGTCTAAAAATAACTGAACTTGACAGTTGACATTTGACAATAACAATTCAACATTTGTATTTTTATGATTCCTGTGTGTACGAGTATGTTTTGCAAAATAATCTTTCAAAATGAGACGTTTTCCCGACTGCATGATTTACTTTCGCCTCGGCCGGTTACAAAACTCAAAAGCCGTGTCGACGCCGCGTGAGCTGAGACGTGAGCCTGACAAAACAAGAAACTATTATTTGAGCCGTAGTTTTCCCTGTACAGTATTTATAATGTAATGCAGATGTCAATACTACGCGTAATGGCATTGTAGTAATATTTTAATTTACAATCAATTCTGTACTGACAAATAAAAGCAAGACAAACAATTATTAAATGAAACTACTAAATTAATTTAGGCCCTGTTTACTTCGGTTAGATGGAAAACACGGAGTCGGAGTTCCGGAGTCGGAGTCCCGGAGTCTGACGTCACAAAAATATGGAAAACACGGAGTCATATGGAAAACACGGAGTCTGACGTCATAAAAATATGGAAAACACGGAGTCATATGGAAAACACGGAGTCTGACGTCAGAGAAAAAAATGGAAAACACGGAGTCCACCATAAAATATGGAAAACACGGAGTCTGACGTCAGAGAAAAATATGGAAAACACGGAGTCTGACGTATTGTCAGCGTGAAATATGGAAAATAGTAATTAAATAATATATACAAACGGACGAATTTATAATATATTAAACGAATTGGAAATTTTCTGCACTAA